GAAACAAATATTGATTTTTTCTTTGTCTCCAGAAGACAAGCAAAATCCAGGAGGTGAGCTCTTAGAGCCTCTTTGAATTGGGAAATTGTAGAGGGTCCCCCCAAACCTCTACAATTCCACACACAAATTTTTATTTATATTTTTGGGACCATTCAAGGCTGGTTTCCTCCACCTATTCCAAAACAAGATAATCTGAAAGTTTTTGTTTTTTGTTATCAGACTGAATAATTTCATAGGGTAAAATAGCTTTTAAAGACTCTACACCCCTCTTTTTTCAGAGAGCTAGGATGACCCAAAATTCATAGAGTTAGAGTTCTCAGAATCAATGGCCATGACCACTGGTTCAAGACTCTTCCTCAGAACTGGTCTCTTGACCAAGGATTTTTTGATCTTGTGGGCAGTTCCGCTTTCAATGGGAGCAGATAGGATATCTACCTCCACCAGGTTTGATTCCAAAGCCTGAGAATCCTCCATAGCTTGTGCAGCTGTTAGGGTTTCTGCAGCTTGGAGATCTTGCTCATTACTTAAGACTCCACTACCCTCCTCTTCTATATTCACAAGCTGCCTTTTATCAGAATTGATTTTCTCCCCTGATGAGATATTTTGTAACCTATCCTCACCATTAACACTTATGTTAGGGCTCACATTATCTGCTTTTCCCCCTTCTGGTTCATTCCCAAAACTATCTGCGACATAACTAGAGGAATTTTTAGGGTTGTTAGGGGTGAAGTTATTAGTAGCACTAATCCAATCCCCAAACTGATCCATGTTAAGCACATTCTTATGCACATCCTCTTGTTTTAAACAGTAATTCTTGTCTGAATGCCCAATTTTACCACAATAATAGCAAAAATCTTGAATATTCTCGTACCTGAAATCAATCCAATGGTTTTTTGCTGCCACTTTAATGAAAGTGCCTCTCAGGATTGGTTCTGCTAGCTTCAATTCCACCAGTACTTTGAGGATCTGACCATGGATGCTTCCTGAGCTTGGTAGAAAGACATTAATAATTGATCCTATCTTCTTTCCAATTTTCAGACATGTTTCTGTCGAAATCCAGT